CTGCCCCTGGGGGGTGGAGGGGGGTTGGCAGAGGGCTTGCCGTGACCCCTGGGTGAACAGATGGGAAGCTGAGGCCCAGGGCTGGGCAGTGTCTCTGGAGGTCGCAGGGGAATTTAGGGACATCGAGCAGGGACAGCCCAGGGCACGCTGGGAGCAGCCACGTCCAGGTGACCGGCGGGCGGTCCAGAGGGCCCCACAGGCCACACTCGCACCCTCTGTCTCCTGGAGGCCCCCATAGCTGGGGCCCATCGATCCTCCAGGGTTTGGAGGACGAGGGGTGGGGGGCTGGGGGAGAACAGGGACCTTGATCTGGGGGTGTGGCCAGCAGGTTCTGAGTGTGGCATTTTCCAGGGTGGGTCCTGCTGGGGGCCCTGGGCAGCCCCCCGTGTCTCTCCTTCCAGTCTTGCCCCCCCCCTTCTGGAAGGTCCTCCCTTTCTCATCCTGGGCACTGCAAACCTGTCTATGCTTCAAAGAGTGGTCGCAGATGGGCCCTCCTCCAAGAAGACCTCCTGGATTTCCCCTTAGACTCTGTTGGAAAGCAGGTGCCCATGGCCATGTTTTCCTTATATTTAGCAAAGTGAGACCTTGCTTGGCTCCTTAAGAGTAAAGTCCGAGCCCAGCGGTGTGGCCCAGTGGTTGAGTGTCGACCCCCCAAGGTCGCTGGTTTGATTCCTGGTCAGGCCACATGCCCGGGCTGTGGGCTAGATCCCTGGTGGGCGTGCAGGAGGCAGCCGATCAATGTTTCTCCTCTCATCAATGTTTCTCTCTCTCCCCCTCTCCCTTCCTCTCTCTGTAAAAATAACAAATCCCCGCCCACTCGGAATCCACGCGAACAGTTTACTTCCCCTCTGGGATGGCCGTTCGGCTGTTTCCAGTCTCTAGTTATTACGCAAAACCTAGTAAGTAGCCCTTCGCTCCTCTCGATGCGTAGACCCTTCTCTAGTTTTAAAATCTTAAACTTTGTGACTACAAAGCTATTTAACAGAGACACACGGGAAAGGTTCCTGTGGGTCCAGGCGCCCAGGCCCGGGGTGTCTGGGAAGCCAGCGCTGGGGTCCGGGCGGGGAGGGGGTAAGGG